CTGTTCCATTCGCTTTGTCTTTAATTACAGAAAAATAATTATTTCCGGGCGAATGAGTACGCAGCCCAGCACCCCGTGAGGGGTGATCGGGCATACGCAGTGGAAAGATGAAATTGGTCGGCTTTTTGCACAGAAACTGAAAATTAGTTTTCAGATTTACATTTCCTTTACTGTTTAATCATTTCTTTGCTTCATTCTGCCAGATGTTTCGCCCTTTTTCATTTTTCCACCGATTTTAGTATGAGAATGTAATGGGCGTGGGAGACATTCTTCTTCCGATATCAGGAGCGAGGAAAAATCTGAGATTCTTCGCATTACTTTTTGTATTCCTTCGAACAACGACAAGTTTAAGCAAAACATTCAGTAAAAAGGGAGAAAATAAAATAAAAGCAAAGAGAACTGTGTTTCCTTTAACTCATATAAATATTTATATATATATACATACAAAAAGTATATACGCACTTGTATATTTGTGCATACACACATAGCATATTTATAAACACACACACACACACACACGTACATATACATACAAGGTCAAAATCAGTCAGTGTCGATTATGGCATTATTGTCTCAACCCACTCCCGTATAGTGCTGCTGCCACGTAGTTCAGTCCATGCATAGTCAAAGGCTATGGGAATCCATCCTATACAAAACAACACAGTGTCTTGTGATATCTATAAGATGAAAAGGCTTCGGGAGTCAACCTTGAGGATACATCAGCTGTGTTATTTCGTCCATTGTAAGCGAGAGATGTAAACACCAGATGTAACGAGTGACCACCGCAAGCCACCACATATGAGCGAGTCGGGATATGGTCTTGGGTGGGTCAGTGGAAAGGGTCTTAGCCTGCTGGTTTATTGATGAAGATAGATATGAGACCCCTAAGAGACCTCTATGTCCTCGGACGAGCTGGTGGAACTGGACCCTGTGTGGCTTGGCCTGTGTGTCATGTCTCTCTCCTTTATCTTACCAACGTGTCCTTTTATGCGGCGGTTCCCTTCGAGGGCGGATGTTTACTCCTGTGCGAAAAGAGAAAGCCTGGCAGCACCTGCATCCGCGCAAGGCGAAGGACAGCTGCCTGAACAGAGGTGTGAAGTGTACCATCCGGTCTTGCTACGTATTGTTAACACCCAGGCATAAATTCTACCTATAATCGTTACTGGCCTTCAATGTGTATATGCATGTATATATATATATATATATATATATATATATATATATATATATATATATATATATATATATGTATATATATATATCATGTGTATATATGTATTTATATATATATATATATATATATATATATATATATATATATATATATATATATATATGTATATATAATATACATATGTATATAAATATAAATATGAATATATATATATATATATATATATATATATATATATACATATATATATATATATATATATATACATATATATATATATATATATATATATATACATATATATATATATATATATATATATATATATATATATATATACATATATATATATATATATATATATATATATATATATATATATATATATATATGTATATATAGGATACATATGTATACATAATATACATGTATATAAATATGAATATATATCTATCTATCTATATATATGTATGTATTCATGTGTGTGTGTGTGTGTGTGTGTCTGTATACAAATATATTTATATATTTATATATATATATATATATATATATATATATATATACATATATATACACCTATATATATGTACATACATATATATATATATCCACTAAAAAGACTATCTGTCCATAGTAGACTAATAATGGCGAAGTTTTACACACACTCCTCGTGGGCACTCGGTTGAGATTGTTTTAGCAATTCAAATCCTGTCACATGTATAGAGGTATATATATGAAAGATGGAATAATGCAATGCCGCATTTGAATTGCTTAATTTGGGTGTGTGTAAAAAATCGCTATCATTACTTTAGATTCGATGGTGGGTTAAGAACCACCAACAATGATTACCTAAAGACCTACTCCCCTGGGGAAGGATCATTGGTCAGCCATCCCAGCATAAACACCCAGTTAGCTACATGATGTCAGCATGGCACCAAGTAGTTCGTCAAACACTACATCGGTGATGACACAGTTATGAATGAATGAATGATATATATACATGTATATATATATATATATATATATATATATATATATATATATATGTATGCATATATACACACACACATATACACATATATATATTATACACATATACACAGAAACATATATAAATAAATTTATATATTATGTATAAATATATGTATATACATACATACATATATATATATATACATATATATATATCATCAATCATCATTGGGGGGGCTAACGCCGGTAAGGGCGCATATCCGCGTCCACCCTTCGCTTCCACCTGCGAAGGTCTCTCATGGCAAGCCGCCAGGCAGGGGCCCGGCCCATCTCTAGTTCCTCACGACAGGTTTGATCGATCTGCCCAAGCCACGACCTTCTCGGTCGTCCCACAGGCCTCCTCCACCCAGGGTTGTCCCGAACAGAGACAACCTGATGGGCAGGATCATCCTGCGGGAATCGAGCCAAGTGGCCATATAGCCTGAGTTGGTGATCACGGATTGTGCAAGTAACAGGTCCTGTACCGGTCTCGCGGTGTAGCTGTTGGTTGGACACATGGTCCCGCCAACTGTACCCCATGATCCGGCGCAAGGATCTGTTACAAAAGGCATCGAGACGAGATTCCAAAGCACAAGATAGTATCCAAGTTTCACTACCATAAAGTAAAACTGGCAGTATCAGGGCCTTGAAAACTCGTAGCTTGGTCCTTCTGCACAGGTACCGGCATCTCCAAATACTCTTGTCGAGAGATTTCATGACCCCTGCTGCCAGGCCAATCCGTCTACTGACTTCCTGGTCTGACAGCCCAGAGTCATGAACTGCACTACCGAGGTATATAAAACTCCTCGAGACTTCGATGTTTTCACCGCAAGCACGTACCGACTGCACAGGGTCTCCTAGAAAGCTTCCAAAATCTTGGATCTTGGTCTTGGTCCAGGAGACCTCTAGCCCCAGGGGCTTCGCTTCATTGCTAAATGCATCAAGAGCCGCCACTAGGGTTTCCAGAGATTCAGAAAGAGTGGCAACATCGTCCGCAAAGTCAAGGTCAGTAACCTTGATATTGCCAAGAGTTGCTCCACAGTGACTTTGGACAGTAGCTCTACACAGTATCCAATCCATGCAAGTGTTGAAAAGTATTGGTGCGAGAACACAGCCTTGCCTCACGCCTGAACTAACAGGAAAGAAGCTCGACAGGCCCCCACCACACTTTACAGCACTTTCAGTGCCTGTGTACAGGTTTACTATTAACCCAACAATCCTTGATGGAATTCCTCTCAGTCTCAGGATCTCCCAGAGTGATTCGCGATGCACCGTATCAAACGCCTACTTGAGGTCGATGTAGGCTGCAAACAGCCCACGTCCGAACTCACGACGGCGCTCTACAATGACTCGAAGCGCCAGGATACGATCTATTGTGGACTTACCAGGAGTGAACCCAGATTGCTCCGGTCTTTGGTGCCTCAGGAGGTGGTCTCTGATACGTCTCAGTAAGATGTGGGCGAGTACCTTGCCTGGTACACTGAGCAGTGTAATGCCACGGTGATTGCTGCAGTCCCACTGATCCCCTTTCCCCTTCCAGAGAGGGATGACCACACCCCTCAGCAGGTCGGGGGGAATGGTACCGGTCTGCCAGATGGCAGACAGGACTGCATGCAAGCCCCTTGCCATAGGTTCTCCACCAGCCTTTAACAATTCAGCTGGGATGCCACAGACACCTGCTGCTTTACCACTCTTCAGCTTGGAGATCGCCCCCTTGACTTCAGTCAGGGTGGGTGGATTCTCGCTGATGGGTGGATCTGGCAGAGGAGTCTCAACATTACCAGCATCCAAGTTAACTGTTGGTGAATCAACCTGATACAGCTGCTCAAAATACTCAGCCCAACGCACACGCACCCCTTCAGGATCTGAGATTACCTGGCCACTTGCTGAGCGGACTGCCGTCGTCTGTGAGGAGGGCTTGGAGTTCAGCTTTCTCAGAGCTTGGTAGGCAGGACGAAGGTCATTTACTAGGAAATGGCTTTCGACCTCCTCTGCAAGATTACTGATAAACTGTTCCTTATCCCTTCTCAACAGTGACCTAGTCCTGCGCGCCAGAGAACGGTGCAAATTGCGATCCCCTGTCAATTGAGCCGCACGACAAGCTTCTGTGGCTTCCAGTGTCTCCTGCCAGATGGAATTCTGTCTTGCTCTTGGGTGTACACCAATGGATTCCTGAGCTGCATCAAGCGTTTCACGCTTGAAGGAATCCCACATAACAACAGGGTCTGTCAGGCCCTCGAGTGCTGTGAGACGACCAGAGATAGCCTCAGCAAACCCCCGGGCACTCTCATCCTCCCTCAGTCTGTCCAGATGAAACACCCTGGGGTGTTCATTTGGTCGACGGGGGGTTCTAAAGTGGACCCGGAGAGTAGCCACAACTAGTCTATGATCAGTTCCACAGAACTCGGCGCTTCGATACACCCTGCAGTTCTGGAGGATCCTCCACCGAGTGCTGACAAGGATGTGGTCGATCTCCTTGGCCACCCTACCCGTATCACTGTACCAAGTCCAGCGATGCGGGTCAGAATGCTGATACCAGGAGCCAGAGATCCTCAATTTCTGGGACCTAGCAAAGTCACGGAAAAGGAGGCTTTTCTCGCTGCCAGTATCAGCTCCTGAGCCATGGGGACCGACAGACATCTCGTAGCCAGCTCGATCACATCCGGATACCGCATTGAAGTCGCCCAGAACAATACGATATATATATATATATATGAATACATATATATATATATATATATCCACGATAGAAATTCCACGGGGAAACGTATTCTTATTATAAATAGGAGGATCAAGACAGCAGGAAATCACATCATGTGCATTTTCATTTATTAAGCTTTCGGAGATCAACAACTGTGTCCATCATCAGAATCTGTATATATGAGAGAATTACATTTGAAAAAACTATGTACATTAATAATTAAAATATATCTATAGCGAAAATAAGAAGCAAGATACAATGGTAACACAAAATTATATAACTAAAACTATTGGGAAAATACTAAACACAAACAAAATAAGATGGAATGTGGAGTATGTGACTGTCATGTTGGCGTGACGACAGTTTACGGAAATTTGAATTCCTCGATGTCCGTTGTGGGTGCGTGTGTGTGTGTGGGGGGGGGGGTAAATGGATAGCAGACTGCCCATCTCATTTTAAACCACTATTGTATAAAAGATATGTTGATGACATATTCCTATTGTTCAATGATGTTTCACATGTAAACATTTGTTTAGACTATGTTAATTCTAAACATGACAATATACATTTTATATATATGAATGCATATATATATATATAATATATATATATATATATATATATATATATATATATATATATATATAATATATATATATAAATATATATGTATGTATGTATATATGTACATATATTATTGTTGTTGCCTCTTTTGCATCAACTATTTTATATTATCTCCTCAGTGTCTGATATAATCTTTGCAGTTCATACTAGTCATATTTTTCTCACAGATTTAACTCTTCAAACGTGTATCGATTAGTTAATACAAGTGTGAGGGAAAGTTCACAAATGTTTAGAGAATTTACATTATTTATTAACTGAAAGAATATTATATAGCCAAAATGTAAAGCCAATCACATATATTGATATGCCAATAATTCAACATCTAAGTTCATTATAATCCAATACAATAACTATACCACACTAAATATCCATCTTTTAGTTTTAACAATTAGCTTGCCATTTTACTCTAAATGTTAACATGCAAACAACTACATAATGTCAATTTAAGCAAGCTGTTATTAATTATGAAATTAGAGCAAATAATGTCAATGCTTAAATTGGATATAAGCAATAAGTAAAAGAATTCCTCTCTTCACATGCAATGATTGAAATCATCAAATTATTAGTAAACAAATAGAATTACAAAAATTAGTGAAAATTACATTTAAGCAAGATGAACTTCTTATACCAAGCAATTTAAAATACTAAGTTAATGTTCTTACACAATTTCTAACTTAAACTTAAGATTATCTCCAATAAAAAATAAATGAGTACATTTCAAAAATGGACAGAAAATATATTATACTTAATCAGGCAATCTTAATACTAAATCAATCTCATTAAGCGGTAATCAAGCAAAAAAATTATCCTAGAAAGTACTTAACTGATACATACATTATGCAAACACAAAATTATTATTACGCTCCAAATTAATAATCTTCATCACTGTTAATTCACACAAGTAATTCATTAATGCCTTACTTCTAAATCAACTCAATAAATCCTTACACTTAAAATTCAAATCTATATGTATTCAAGTATATCATTCTTGAAATCAAATCAATAATTATTCCATTATATAATTCTTACTTCCAAAATTAACTTAATCAAATACAATTATTGATCCATTATATAGCCAACATACAAATCAAGAAATAATCCCTGATTATACTTAATCCACATTATCCATAGCACATTCCCGTCCACTATGTTCCCACAAGATAAGGCACTAAATTACTTCAACCGGGCTTACCAAGATGTGCCACAAACGTGACATGGCTACTGGATGCTGCTCCGAAATCTGCTCCGCCGTTTGTCTGTCACTAACCGTTATTTATTCCCGATATGGAAGCCCTTCCGGCCACACCCTTAACAGTTATCATGAATATAATATAATTTCTTTTCACTGATTTCAAATATACTAGTTTCAGGACTTTCCTGTGTCTCAGCAAATTTTCAACACTGTATTCATCACTTTAAACTTTGTCTACCTGCCACCCGAGTTCATTTCTTGTTCCCAAACTGATTCACTATGATCTTTATTGCGATCAATTAAAACTGCTTGTTGTTTCGCACTCGTGATTTCTTTTTTGCTTCTGTTGGTGGTGTCACCCTCTATCACATAATGATCTCGCCACTTTGAGTCATAGAGCGTTTCTGTTTTTTGCATCTGTGTTTTGTCGACTTGACCATATTTTTTGTCTGGAGTCCGCTCGAATATTCTATTTTTGATGTCTCGTCCCGGCTGTAGCATCCGCTTTGCCCTCGCGCTGTTTACGTGATAACGCCTTCGTGTGTCTACGACATTATATATATATATGCTGAGCTCATTTTTTATAATTTTTATGAAATGTCTCTGCACATAGATGGCTCTGCTAGTGCTTAGCCACAAACGAGTCAATTAACGGCATAAAAGGCATTAGCTTCCAAACCCATATTAAAGATACCTAATACTTCGCTTCCTTTTGTCTTACGAACAGATTCATCGGATGTTGGGCCTGGAGCCGTTCTTCTACAGTACATAGATGGTCGTCCATTCCCTGTAGCATACGCTAGTCGAAAACTATTAGACAGAGAGAGGAGGTATTCAACCATCGAGAAAGAAGGCTTGGCTTTAATATTCGGTATAAACCGATTTAATGGGTCAAGAAATTATCTTAGAAGTAGTCCAGAAGCCATTAATTTATATTGATAAATTCAAGGTGTCCAACAATAGACTTTTACGGTGGTCTTTAAGTTTGCAACCATATCGTTTACGGTTGGTTCACGTTGCAGGACGTGATAATCTTGGAGCGGATCTTCTAAGTCGTTCCGGAAATTAACTCGACCTTTTGAAAGGCATCTGTTGGGAGAAACGCCAATTTCGAAATTATCATTATATCTCTTGGACTGTAGTATTTAGTACGTAAATACTGGGGCGTGCTTCACTTGGTAATAAAAGTTAAATATGTAAGTTTAGGTAAGCCATACTGTATATTAAATGTATTGTCTAAATGTGACAATGAAAAGGAAATACTTGACTAGTGTATAATTGTATCTTGAAAAAAGAGTTATGGGTTATCTTGTAAATAAGTATTATAGTAGTCTGTTATTAACGCATGTTGAAAGCTATCGTCGTTAGTTTCTCACGGAAAACATATAAAGAATTATATTTTGTTTGTATCAATCTGTTGGATAGATACTTGTTGAGGGAGCCGTGTGAAGAGATACGGTTATTATTTTATCTATTATTAAACTATGTTCGCTTGCATACGTGGCGGTTCGATACGGATTCGGTGGTCGAATCCAGATTCGAATCCAGGTTCGATCCTGAGCCTGGTTGTAGGGTAGTGGGTACTGGGGGTCCTCACTCTACTCGACCAGTAAGGTGAGATTCTCTCCCTATCCTAGTTTTGGGAATTTTGTTTTCTTTTCTTTTTGTGAGGAATCTGTTTTTGATATTGCAATGTATATGAACAATATTATACTTTTGCCAGACATGCTGCAGAACCTACTCGTGCCAAGGGCCAGGCACGGAGGCTTTTTTATATCTTGTACGAAAACTGACCATCCAAATCCACGTGGCCGCTTCAAGATTACGACTCGAACCAGAAATTAGTGGTCATGAGTGGAAAGGAACATAGTGTTTTATTTTTATTTGATAATGCATAACTGATTTGAAAATTGCGAACATTTGGTGGTTATAGAACTTTTCATGTATCTCTATATTTATTGTGAATAAACATTATTTTTTCGATATTCTGAATGTTTACTTGTTTCCTCAAAATTAGCAAATCCTGTATGAAACTAAAAGATCCTGGTATTTACATAGACCTTGAGATCTTACCTGATTTCACCTTTTCTTGAATTGGCGGGAAAAATTTAAATTTTACTAGTGCTATGAATATCCATGGTATTGTTTTTATTATGGCCATTGTAATTACTATAATGCTATAAATATTAGTAACAGTAAAATGAGATAACGTAAAATATTTTCGTAAATCAAAGAAAAGGGTAAAGGGCGAGACAGGCAGTACTCGTAATTGCCTCATTGGTGGCTTAGTACAGGTGTAGCCATCTATATGTAAAAAAAATAAATAAATAAATAAACAAGTAAACCACAGTGGGCATGTCATACACGTACACGTCATGCCCGTCGGCATTGGGTTAAGAAAACACTTAAGATATATTGTGGTATCAATAAAATGTCATACAAGACAAATGCTGTACCATGTGCACTAATGATTTATAAAGAACCCAAAACCCGTACATATTTATCTCTATACCAAGGTCTGTCCTCTTTAGGTCCCAGACAAACTAGTTTGTAAATGGCTGATCAATACACAGAAAACTTTAAAGATTCCACTCGAGAACCTCTTTAATTCTCATAATTTGACAAAGGATCTTTTATTATATCTCACTTTAAAGTTCAGTTTTCTCTGGTGTGAAAATATGAAAGTTTTCCTCTTTTCTCAGAAAGAATGTGTCAGTTAGAAAAGAAGCACGACCTCAGAGGGTAAACTGGGGCGGCGCTAGGAGTAGGTCCAGATGGTGTCCTCTCTCCAGCTGTGAAAGGAAAACAGTGTTCACTGCACCAGGTGAATGAATAGATTAGAATGAAGTATGATGTCGTAAACAATCACATTAACCATCATCGTCATCATCAATGTCATTATCATTATCCTCACCATTATTATTATCATTACCTTTATCATTATCATTATCACTATTATCATCATTATCATCATCATAACCACCATAATCATTACCATCATCATCATTAGAATTTTCGTCATGATAACAATGATAATACTGATAAGAAAAATTGTGAGGAAGTATACATTCTAATCAAAATAATAATTTACATTCATAGAAAACAAATAAAATATCTAAATTATGTTGTAATGAAAATGATAAAAATAGTGTTGATAAAAATAAAAATGATAATAATAATAGCAGGGATGATGATAATAATGATAACAGCAAAAAAAAAAAACAGCAATAATAATAATAATAATAATAATAACAATAATGACAATAATAATAATAATAATAATAATAATGATAAATAATAAATCATTTCTTTTATATGGATGATCTGAAGCTATATGCTTGCAGTGATGATGAACTGGAAGGGCTTCTGAAAACGGTGAAAGCTTTTAGTGAAGACTTAGGCATGGAATTTGGCTTGAGTAAATGTGCCAAAACCACCTTTAAACATGGTAAATTAAGAAATACCAAAAATATAGTACTTGATGATGACTCCATCATCAAGAAACTAGATCAAGAGGGTACCTACAAATACCTTGGAGTTAATGAGGGTGACGGAATACAGCCCGCAAAAATGAGGGAAACGATAAGGAAGGAATGTATTCGCAGAGTCAGATCAATTATGAAGACGGGACTGAACTTTAAAAACAGAATTACCGCTATTAACACTTTAGCAATACCGGTAGTGACGTATAGTTTTAATATTATAAACTGGAACTTAAGTGAGCTCCAAAGGTTGGATAGTAAGATCAGAAAGCAGTTCACTTGTAACAGGATGCTTCACCCAAAATCTGATGTAGATCGGTTATACCTCCCGCGTAGTAAAGGAGGAAGAGGTATGATTCAGTTAAAACTTTCATAAAAAACCTCGACAATAGATCTCGCTAAATACTTGGATAATGCTCATGACTGGCAGCTTCAACTAGTAAACAGGAATGAGAACTCGAAAAGATTACACTCTGTCACCAAATAATCTGATAAATTCTCACGTTACATGCAATTTGAAGCTGATAATAATAATCGCTTGTCACCTGCTGAGATTGCTCGCAAAGCAAAGAAAAAAACAGAAAGTGAAGGACTGAAGCAACTTGAATCTCGCTGGCGAGAAAAACCTCTCCATGGACAGTTCGCAGCTCGAGCCAATAACGCTGATGTAGACACACAAGCAACCCATCAGTGGCTCCGTAGCTCTGGACTAAAAGCGGAAACAGAGGGCTTTATTCACGCTGCACAAGATCAAAGTTTGTTCACAAGAAATTTCCAGGCCAACATCTTACACCACGGTGCTGATCCAAAGTGCAGGTTTTGCGAAGACAAAGTAAAAACGATTGACCACCTAGTCTCTGGCTGCTCTATTTTAACACCAGGAGAGTATAAAAACAGACACGACAGGGTTGGTCAGTATCTCCACTGGAAGATTTGTAACCACTTTTCCATTAAATCTCACAGTAACTGGTACGAACACCACCCAGAACCTGGTACAGAGGGAGAGAATGTTACTATTCTCTGAGATTTTTCGATTTCATACAGACCGCACGATCCAAGCAAATCGTCCTGATATAGTTATTCAGAACAAGAAGACCAACCTATGCTTTCTTATTGATATGAGCGTGCCCTCTGAGAGAAATGTCTCCGCAAAAACCTTTGAAAAGCTTGCCAAGTACAAAGATCTTGAAATTGATATTGAAAAGATGTCGAACGATCCCTGTAGTAATAGGTGCCTTAGGCCTGATAAAGAAATTAGCTAAATAATATCTCGACATGATCCCAGGAAATCCTTCATTACAAGAAATACAAAAAATTGTCCTTAACAGTACTGCACATGTATTAAGACGAGCTCTCACCATATAAATAAATACCTTCGTTTCTTTTTTTTCTTCTTTTTTATACATTTCATACCATATTAATCACAATTTACAAAACTTCCAATTTCACTCACCCTAGGTCACTGGTAGTGACCCGGTATTTGATCTTAATTAAAGCAAATCAAGAGAATTTTAAAGACAATATTAATAATAATAATAATAATAATAACAACAATAACAACAACAACAAAACAACAATAATAATCATCATCATCATCATAATAGTAATAATAATAATAATAATAATAATAATAATAATAATAACAAAAACAGTAAAATAATGATATTGAGACTGACAAAAATAATGATGACAATAATGATAGTATAAATGATGGTAAGAACTACTATATCATGGATAATACTAATACTAATAACAACAACAACAACAATAATAACAATAATACTAATGATAATGATAATAATCATATTAA